TCCCTCGTGCCTTGCTCGAGATGCTAGAGTCACTGCTGGCCACAATCTCCACCTCCTTGGCCAAAATCCCAATGCAGGTAGAGCTGTCATCTCCTGAAAGGCAGCTGGGGGAAGGTGTGTACAAGCTTGATTCTCGTTCGCCCAAAGTCTCAATGGCCAGGGTTCGGAAGGGGAGAGGATACAGCCACCATGGGGAAGGTGTCCAGTCCCAGATGCACAGCTCTGCCTGGTTCACTGGTCTCCAGACCCATAGCTCCCTTTGCTCACCTCCCTCCATGGGAATGATAAACCAAGTGCCTAAACTTCAAATTCAAGCCAAGCCCTTGAGCTTGTCCTCATCCCTCATACTTCATGCAAACTCAGTGTGGTTAAGCGCTCCATCCTATCCTAGAGCATCTAGTGGGGGAGCAGCAGAGGCTGCTGGTCCTTATCTCCCCCCATCTCATGACTTCAGCTAACAGACACCCCAAAGATCCCATCACCACCACTGTCATCTCTCAGGCACTCACATGACCTGCTTCTCCTGCAGGTTAATAGGTGGCATGGCCCGGAGACCAGGCTTGTTTGCTGAAGTACCATCACCTGAGCAGAGGGGGTCTGGGACCAGGAGTCCATTGAGGTCCCCATTGTAGGCGTTAGATGGCCGTTGGCTCTCTGAACTGGGGCCTGGGGACAGAGAGAGCCACTATCATGAGGTTGTTCTACCTGCCAACTGGTCTCGCCTCCTGTGGAGCTTCCTTCCAGAACCATGAGGTGCCCTAGGAACACTCGACTGAGGCATGTCCTTGGGAAAGAGGGCCCTTTGTTCATCTTTCATTCCATAAACACTGATGGTGAACCCAATGTATGCCAGGATCAAAGATGAGCATAAGGCTCTTCTACCTGGGGGCTGGGTACAAGCTATCAAGGACCCTCTGGGGCCAATTAATACTCAAGCCTGGCTCAGGACAGAGGGACTCTGTACTTGAGGTAAGGCATGGGAAGCGTCAGGATAAGAGTTCACAGAAGAGGTACCATTAGAGCCAGTGTGGCTGGAACACACAAATATGGGAAGGATGGAGGGAAAACAAGGCTGCGGAGATCTCAGGTATGAGGCTAGGGTGCTTAGATTCTCTGTGGCAATGAGAGCCACAGAAGAGTTTAAAAAAGGAAGGTGACATGGTCAGCACTGCCCAGAGGGCTGATTGCTCTAAGGCAGTATGCAGAATAGCTGAGAATCTGGGTGAGAGACCCCAGGATCTAGACTAAGGTAGTGGCAGGGGTTGGAGAAGAGAGGATGGGCTCCTGAGGCATAGAAGGACACTGATAAGATATGAGAGCAAGAAAGGAAGGAGCCTGCCTCACAGAGAAATGGCTCAAAAGAAGCCACCTTATGTAGGTAAACTCAGGATGAACGGACATAAAGGAGCTGAAGAAAGAGGAAAGAAACTATGGGGTAGTGTGTAGAGTTAGGAAAGACAGTTTTCAGTTATTTGCCACTGGCCAAGTTTCAAGTACCCTCATAGGCTCTGACACCACTTCAAAACTCTCAGGTGGCAAGGAGACTAGGGCTCCACAGTCAGGTTTGCAATAAGTTTCTAGTCACAAAACAGTCTGGGGTCCGACATAGTCCTCCAGTGAGAGGAGATGAGCCAGAGCTACTCGGCAAGCAGGAGAATCAAGTACCAATCAATAAACAGAGTTCAGAGTAAAGCCTCAAGGCCACTTAACTTGGTTCAGATCCATCTTAGCTGCTCAGGGGTAAGCTGACCGTTTCTCTGCCAGGCAGGCTACCATGAGGACAAATACACAAGCTGCACAAGGTTGGCCATGCTAGGGTCTCCACCAAAACTTTGTGGAATCTAATCTACACAGCAGCTGATGAGAATAAGAGGCCTAAGCCAAACTCATGAGTAAAGGGAGCATGCTCCAGGCCTGGGGAAAAGGACTCAATGGTTTTAAGCAGGAGATGGATTTTCTCAGGGAACAGTGGGTAGCTAAACCCACCCAGAGCGAGCACCAGTGCCTGCTTCCAGTAGCAGCCAGTTTGAGACTCCCAGCAGGTTTAAGAACAGGGTCTGAGGAAACACCAACTCACAGTTCTGACCATTGCACAACTATAACACCATCACCAGCCAGTCTTTCAACCACTATAACTTTTCATGGGTCCCTGAACTACTCAGGAAACTTTCGTACCTTCACATGTGTGATTTCCTGTTTGTGGATGCCTTTCCTGACAGCCAAGCTCCTGTTCATATTACCAGATATAGCCTAAACATTGTCTCCTCTTTCAGACCTGTTCTCAGGCACTCTCCAGCCCCCATTCTACCTACCCTAACCCCAACAAAATACCAAAACACTCCTCTTTCAATGACAACAGCATTATATTACAATTTCCTTTGGATCTATGTTCTGGAGGCTCCTTGAGGGCAGAAGCAGTTTTGAGGTGTCACTGCAAGCCCAAATAAAGTTTAAATAAATGGAAATAAACTAAGGGTTGCAGACGTTTGTAGCCTAATACAATCAAGGCCATGCAGTCTGTGATTTGCTTTAATCCCAGAAAGGGCGCAGAATTGGGGGTGGTCACTTTCCTCCTGAACATCAATTTCAGAACAGCATGCCCGGAGTCTATTCTAGAGAGAAGTGCAAGTTGCAGAGGGGGATCTACAGCTCTTCAGGAGCACAGAACCTAGTGTAGACACAGAACTCATCATACAGAGCACCAGACTAGGCCTATGAAACATGGCAAAGGGTAGGAAATCCAGGCCAGTCCCAGGAACACTAGAGATCTTGGGGCCAGGACACCAAAGGGGCCCTGAGGATTCAGAGCCGGGCCTCACCTTCAGTCAAGACGCTGAAGGACGAGGCGAAACGGGGTGGGATTGGGAGGGATTGCACCCAGGAGACTATGCCCTTCGGGGAGCAAGCTTACGGGTTTATCGCTCTGATCCTCGTCTGCCCTCACCAGCAGGGAGGATGCAGAGCCGGTCCGGAGGGACCTGTGGGACCTGTGAGAGACCCTGGCCCGAACCGCCCCTCTGCTTGTTCTGCGAAGGCCCAATCCCGCTGTCCTGGCTCACCCCCCGTGGGCCGGTCCAGCTTGAGGATGTCCCGTAGGTGCTGCGTGGCGTCCTCGATGTCGATGCTCGCGCAGGAGGCCATGGGCCCAGCCACGGGCGCCCTGTCCGCGCCGGGTTCGTGTCGCTGCCGCTGCGCACTATCCAGCCGAGTACAGCCGCACCGGGGCCAGACAGCAGGATGCTGGTCACCACCCGCAGCCCACAAACCGCGGCCCGCACCGCGTCCCTGAGCCCCTCCAACTTCACCAACCGCCTCCACTTCCGGCCCGCCCGATCTTTGGCTCCCGGAACCTACACCTAATGGAGAAGAAAGGTTCCGGGCTGGGAGCGGATGCCTCATCGTTCCTCGAGCCGGGTTTCCTCCGCCGCCCCGCCCCGCCCCGCCCCTGTGCCAGCGGGGTCCGGGGAGTCTAGCGGGGCTGAGGCAGAGAACGTCCATGTGCTGTACCTCCCAAAGCCCTACAAGCCTCAGGATATCCTGCTCAGGATATCCCGCCTGGTCCATGCCCACTCCCAGGGCATGGACTCATGATGGGCCTAGGACTGGGTCAACTCGGCCATCCAGGCTGTTCTCATAATGCCTGAGGCGACCAGCGATGTCAGAAGGCCCAGGAATTACAAGAGCAGGAAACAGTCCCACCACAAACATCACATTGTTCCCTATTGTCCCTCAACATCCCCTTGCCCAACATGGCACCCTCAGGAAGGAAAAAAACACAGTTTACAAACACCTCTTTATTGCAGATATTTCAGGCACGCGTACATGGAAGATGCTATACTGTAATTTTATACAGGGTGGTTTAAGAGGCAACAGGCGTCTACCTCTCTCCTGCACTCCCACCCCCATATACACAGTAGCCTAGAAATCAGTCCCACTGAAATCTCCTGAGTATGCTGTCCTCTCAAACAGTACATCATCCAGCCCTGTGCCCAGTACAGCCAGACAACCTCCAGGAGTATGAGGAAGTCCTTGGCCTCCACCCATTGTACAAGAAGAAAGGAATGGTACAGGTTAGGCATAGCTGTGGTGCCCTCATTAATCCTAAACCCCCCAACAGGGCACCAGCCCAAGTCCTGGGTTTGGTTTTAGCCTGTGGTTGCTACCTTGCCACAAGGTCTCAGGGCTAAAGGGCAAGATTTGCCCTGGGCAAGACCTCTGTCCCCAAAACTGAGGAGCATAAACTGCACCAATAGCTAAGACTTCTTGGAATTTGAAGATGCATGACAAGGGAGGGAATAGAAAGCCTAAAGATACCTTGAGGAAAAGTGTGAGGGGTGAGAAATCCTAAAGTACAAATCCCTCCCAATTCAGATGGCCTTCTGTCATAGCTCTAAATCTATATTTCAACCCAACCAGGCTTGGATCTGGCTGGCTGTTCTGGACACTTGCCTTTGAGCAACGATATCTAAAGCAGTGGTACAAGATCTGAGCTCCCCTCTTCTTGGCTTGAGGTTTGTGAGGCACCCTGGACATGATCTTGACCCTTCTGGAGATAGAACAGGCCCCTCTTCCTCAAAGCTCTGCTCATCCTTGGTTTCACTGGGTCCTCAGTACAGAGCACCTGAACTTGATGGGCCTTTTTGCCAAGGCCTCTCCATCTTTGGTGGGATTCTGGGTCATCTCTCATTATGACAGCCTGACCCTACCCACTGTAGAGGTCACAGGTGTCACAACTGACTGCAGAGGCTTCAGTGCAAGGGAAGCTTCAGGCCAGCCTTGAGCTCTGTCTGCGGCTCACTTTCTCAAGACCGCATGGGCTGGGAAGGGGAATGCTATCCTACATGGCATCTGAGAAGCTAGATGGGAGTGCTGCTTCAGTAGTTTTCTCCTTGCAATAGGTACTGCTGAGCTGGGGTAGATGTAGGAGGGTGAGACATGAGAGAGCCAATGGGGCAGGGTTGTTATTGATGCCCAGCGCACTATTAAACTAATTAAAACAATTTAAACTGTTAAGAAAACTTTTGTGGTTTTATTGTATCATGAGGCATTGAAACATCCGAACAAATCAATATCTGGGCGGTGAGGCAGCTGCTTTCTCCTTCACTTCTTTGGGTTACTAGAGCAACTTGTCAGTAGATTAAAAAAAAAAACAAAAAAAACAAAAAATTTTTTACCTTTTGCATTACTTAAGTCTTTCCAAGGCATGCGCTGGTACAACACAAACTTCTCCTGTCAGATGCAACTAGTCTAGCGTCCAAACATCATGCACAATACCTCGGTAGCAGCAGCGCACTGCGCCCACTACCACCGCGGCCCTGCTCATTTGTGTATGATATTTGGAGCATCTGGAGGAGTGTGAATAGTATTGGGAAGAGGAGGGAGGAGGAAACAGCATGAGTGCCTGGCTGGGAGGAGGTCAGCCGAAGTTGTGCAGGGCAAGCCTGAACATGTCATTGGTGCAAACCCAAGCATCATTGATGTTCTTTAATAGGAACATCTGGTGGAACCCCATGATGGGGTCTTCATCAGCCTGTAGGGAGAGAAAAACCATTCAGTAAGGGGGGCAAAGGAACAGGAAGAGAGTTCAGTGATAGGGGAACTGGGCATAGGATGCTGACTTTGGGATCATGCCTTACTGTCTTGGACTCAAATCCCAGTATAGCCAAGGGAAAATTGTGAATGTGAATTGATATAACATATGAAACACTGCTGTGTGTGCTTAAATTACACAACAATTCACTAGTTAGCTACAGCAAGAGCAGAGAACATATCTGCCTCTGAGCCCACGTCTCTAAGCACAAGTGATCAATTTGAAAAAGTTATGCAGTACTCACCATGTAAGTTTACAGTATTCTAAACACTCTTAGTGTCCGATCAGGAAAAGCTATTGCTAATACTGACTGTGGCCAAATATCTGAGAAAAGGCTCAAAACTGAGTTCACACTGTGATCACAGCTCTACAGGGGAAAAAATAAAGTATCGCTATCAGGCGATCTGTTGAAAACAGAAAAGCAAGAGACCTCCAGTCAAACTGCAAAAGACCATGATGAGGCCTAGTTGAGGTAGGAGCCCAGCTAATCAGTGCTGTCTCTAATATCACCAGTTTTCCTGGGAATTATCAGCAAGGAGGCAAATCAGTCTTTTGAGGGCTTGGAATTGAACAGAAATACAAGAAAGAACCTAAAACCATGTGGGAAGGGGCGCTGCTGACTGACCCCTGCCTGGGGAAGTGGGCACTGAGACCCCTGGAGAGACTTCCTCACTTCAAAGGGCCTATCTGAGCAGATTCTGGGCAGGGCATCTCGGACAGGCAGGAGAAACTGACAAGAAAGTCCAGGCCAGAAGCCAGGTCCCTGAGTCTACTGCAGAGAGCAAGGGCCCCCTCCCGCCACCACTGTATTAGACTCAGGAAGCCCTGCCTAGCCTAGGGAGAAAGTCTGTTATTCTGAGCCCCTCCATGACACAGGCCCAGGAGGGTGGGACCTGGTCAAAGGTCAGCCAATCTGTCCTGCTTTAGGAAGGAGAGGCTTTTTGGAAACTAACAATCTGGCTCCAGTCTGCTAAGCACAATAGGTAGGAGATCCTAGAAGAGTTCTCGAGGTAGGGGTGCTGAGGGGCTGCAGGAAGGCTCTGAAGAGGACAAGTCTTGAGAAGGGGAAGGGAAGATGCAGAGAGAAACAGGAGTTCCAGGAATCTGCTTTGCTCAAGTGAAGGAGTCAGCAGCCAACTTACATAGTGGCAGCACAGACTCAAACAGGGGAGTGCTACTTGGTACCCAGCTGGTCTGTCCAAGGTCAACTGCTTGCAGAAGTCCCACCTATGCCTTGGGGCAATATGAAGGCCCACCGGCTTGGCACCATAGCCTCATCCTGCTTCTATACATCTTGTCCCTTTTCCAAAAAGGCTCTAGACCAGTGCTCTCCAATAGAATTTTCTGCAACAACAGAAACATTCTATGTCTGTGCTGTCCAATGGGCAGCTACAAGTTAATGAGGACTTGAAATAGAGCTAGTATAACTGAGGAACTACATTTTATTTCATTTTAATTAATGTAATTAAAAAATCACCACATGTGGCTGGTGGCTATTGTACTGATCTACATAGCTCTAGACAGTCACTTTGTCTGGGTGTCCCTTGATAAGCAGGTCGTAAAACAGGGAAGGCAGGGGCGCAGGGCTCTCCTCTGCCTGCCTGCTTCTCTCTAGCAGCACTATTACCTTTAACTGGCCCACAACCATACTGATGATGCAGCTATCCGGCGTGGGCTGATGGTCCTGCGCCGTGATGCTGTGCTGGATTTTCTGGAACGGAAGGCTCTGCAAGAGAAAGAGTGGGTGGTAGGCTGTGGTCAGCAGGGCAGGGAAGGAGCTGTCTATAACCCAGCCCTGGCCCTTACTTACAGATAACTTCTCCACAATGGCAGCTTTCCCCTGGAATTGCTGTCCTTCCCACGTAAGGCATGATGCGTCAATCTGAAAACCAGGCAACCAGGAGTCAGGGTCTCAGAGCATAAAGAATATCTCAGAGGCCCTGAAAAGACCCTAAAAAGAATCATGGGGAGATGAGTCCATGCCTGTCTAAAGAAGGGTACTGAAGACAGCTTCCAAACTTTCTATTAACAACTTCTTTAATTACGCCCCCATTGTCTCAGAGCCCGGGCTCTGAATGGCCAATAAATTACAGACTTATTAAGTAAGTCCATTTCTCAGTTTTTATTCAAGAGATTATTTAACCTCTGATATGCATGAGCCCCAGGCTGGCCGTATGTGGCCAAGGCTCAGCCAAAAGCCACCCTGCTGTGTCATCGATCAGCATCAGTTCCAGAGAAGCCAGCAGAAACAACCTGGAAACATCCTAAGTTCATCACCATCTTGAGCCCAGACTGGGGTCCACTGAGGCCCTATCCATGGGGGCTTCCATGGGGTCAGGGAGCGCTGGAGGCTGACAAGGCCTCCCAAGGCATCCCACCAGCTTCGCCCTCCTCCCCTCCAGATCTTCCCTTCAGGGGCAGAACTCAAAAGTACCTCTGCTACTTACCACCTGTGACATTAGACAAGTTACCTATTTTTCTGAGTCTCAGTTTCCTGATATTCAAAGGGGACATAGGCTGAAGATTATATGAAATAAAATAAACAAAGTATTCTTTTAGGACTTTGCTAACTCTCTTCTTTGGGTCAGACCTGCTTTAATTTATGTTAAGGTGCAGTGAGGAAAAAGTGCCAGGATCCTAGAGTCAGATCAGTTCAAGTTTTAAAAAATTCCTCTGTCTATGATAATAACAATCAAATAATACCTGTGCTGGATTTGGCCCTCCAGTGATAAGATCCCTTTCTTTTCTCCAAAATTCTTGAATCAACCTCACTTTTTGCAGGGCAACAGAAGAGTCTGCCCATAGCCCAGTCAGGCTCTGAGGCTATGCTGGATGACTCCTATCACTCTCATCCCAGGCACACCTGCTAGGCATAGCCTGACCAATCATATTTCTGTGACCAAGTCTTGGGCAAGGTCAAATACAAGTAGTTCTCGGTGTATATGAACACCAGTGAAATAGTAGCAAACAATGCCTACATAGAAGGGCTTCTCAAAGGACATACTAGCCTCTCTGGGCTAACCCCATTTGTTTCCCACGAACATTCAGGAGCTTTTGGCCTCAAATGTAAACCAGACCTGAGGCTCCCAGGAGAGCTCAGCTTTGCACTGACGATGCTCATGGCTGCTGCCTCCAGAGGGCACCATGAGCCTAACCTCTGCCTGCTGCTGCCCAATCTGGAACAGAGGCACTTTCTAAAACTATGAAATGGCCAGCTTAGAACACCATGCTCAGGGTACCAGGATCTCCACTCTTGGGGAACATGATAGAATGTATAGACTAGGTTGTTGGGCCAGGTCTCAGGCCCCCTGTCCCAGGGACAGAAGCTCAGATAGAAGGGTGCAGCCAAATCCAGTGAGGGCTACCAGAACTTGTGAACTGAGAAGAATTGGCCCAACCTCTGAACTGATCCCCTGGGTCTTGTTTCTGTCTTAGAGCTGCACACTTACGTAAATTGCGCCTAGTTGGGTTCTGTCGTTATCAAATAACTGGTAGTAATGTTGAATGAAGCTGGATCCAATCTGCTCCCAAATTGGCTTGTCTCCCATTCTGGAGCGTCACCCGGCCTCGTTGAGACCTGCAAGACCAGCAAGGCCGGGGGTGGGGAGGGGGTGTTGATACTGCACCAGCTGCTGATTCTTCACTGGCCCCCTCCCCGCCCTGGCCTCCTAGAGCATGATTAAAGTCCTTTGCTGAAATCTGTTCACATAGGGAACATGGAGAGGCCCTGGAGAACTGGTAGAGACCTCTCCTAATACAGACCAGTGCAAGAAGCCCAGAAGTGGAGCCGACTTAGCCTCTCCTTTGAGGTGCTCTGGTTGATGAGACAAAGGGCTATAAGGGGCACAGGATAGGTGCTGAGGGTGGAGCCAGGACAAAGGAAGGTCAGAGCAAGCCCTCCAGTGCCCAATGAGGGGATGGACCTTAAAGGAGGAACTAAGCACTCTCCCCATAGCTTTTCATTTAATCCTCTCAACAACCTGCAAGGCTGGAGCTATTGCTCTTCTTCCCATCTTGCAGGCCAGGAACTACTGATGTCTGTATGTGAAGTGTCTTCTATTATAGTCCTCAGGGCCTCAACATTGCCCCAGCACTTTACTGGCAGATGAAGGAAGACTCAGTGAGAGTGGGGTAAAGGCTCCTCAAGGCCCCACTTGCTAGAAAAATAGCAAGTGACCCCCCTCAGTCTTGAGGGGGAAGTTTACATCTTTGAGGCTAGGTTAACACCTGGCCCTTTCTAGGGCATTATTTCATTGATGAGGGTAACCCCTACCGATTTCAGAGCTAGTAACAAGTTCAGGGGATCACAGAGAAATAGATGAGGGATGTGGAGAAGGGAAATGGAGGCTGTGAGGGGGAAATATTTAATCTCTTCAGACCCCCATTCTTTAGCACTGCCTTCATTAGGAAGGGCTGCCCCTCTCCAATCTCTGGGTGCAAGAAGTCCCCTTCCAGCTACAGACATCACGGCCCTCAGGGTGCTAGAAGAGAAAATCCCTTGGGCTTTGCTAGGCCCCATATGACTAAGGAAGACCACATCTCACTGCAGGACCCTATGACAGCAGAACCATGTGTTATTCTGTAGCTGTTTGACTGTAGAGGAACCCAGCCCCTCACTCCTGAAAACAGGATCTGAACCAAAGCAGTGAGGAGTTGGGTTCGATCCTGGCAGACAACCATCAGCAGTGGTAGGAGGTAATGCAAGTCACTGCCTTTCTTAGGGCCTCAGCTGCCTCCTCTGTAAAATGGAGATGGAATCTTGATGTTGCCAGTGGTTGTGAAGCCTCACTAATGGAACCTGGTAAAGTCCTCAGCTCAACATGGTAAGAGCTAGTTCGCTCCAGTCCCTGTGACCTCACCCAAGACCAGAGGAGCCAGTGGGGAGGAACAGTATAGGGAGACAATGGCTTATCCTCAACCTAGCCAATCTCCCTGCTTGTGACCAACACTTCAGCCAATGAGGGGCCAGGAAGCTGAGCCAGCTTTATTTTAGGTCCCCTAGGAGGTGGTGGCACTAAAAATAGCAGCTCAGTGCTGGGATGACTAAGAAATGTCCAGGAAAGTCTAAAATAAGCAGAGAAGAAAACTTGGACCAGGCCATGCCTGTTACACAGGAACACAAGGTATGTCCCAGTTTACACTCTGCCAAGAAACGAATCGACAAGCGGGAAAAGCACAGGATCCGTGGCTAGTCTCAGCTGTACTGTTCTGATCAGATTTCCAAGGGGTCAGACTGTAGCTGTATCCACACACAAACTTGGATTACTTGAGGCAGGGCACAGCCCCACGTATCTCTGCCTCTTCAACCCTAGTATTCACTATGCTTAGCTCACTCACTGCAGCCAGACTTTGCTGCGACCTCACTGTTTTACCACCAAGATGCCTTGCCCAGACCCCTACCCTGCCCCGAGAGCTCTGGGGCAGGCGGAGAGCCGAGAGAGTGGGTGAGGGCCATCTTTCCCTCCTCAGTAAGGATGGACAGCCCTCAGGGAAGGTCTTGAAGAGTATGCTTATCAAAAGAAACAGAATAAGCAAATGTCTGGGGGAAATGAAAAGAGATAAGGACAAAAAAAAAAAAAAAAAAAAAAACCCGGGAAAAAACTGTAGGGCATTATTTCATTGATGAGGGTAACCCCTACCGATTTCAGAGCTAGTAACAAGTTCAGGGGATCACAGAGAAATAGATGAGGGATGTGGAGAAGGGAAATGGAGGCTGTGAGGGGGAAATATTTAATCTCTTCAGACCCCCATTCTTTAGCACTGCCTTCATTAGGAAGGGCTGCCCCTCTCCAATCTCTGGGTGCAAGAAGTCCCCTTCCAGCTACAGACATCACGGCCCTCAGGGTGCTAGAAGAGAAAATCCCTTGGGCTTTGCTAGGCCCCATATGACTAAGGACGACCACATCTCACTGCAGGACCCTATGACAGCAGAACCATGTGTTATTCTGTAGCTGTTTGACTGTAGAGGAACCCAGCCCCTCACTCCTGAAAACAGGATCTGAACCAAAGCAGTGAGGAGTTGGGTTCGATCCTGGCAGACAACCATCAGCAGTGGTAGGAGGTAATGCAAGTCACTGCCTTTCTTAGGGCCTCAGCTGCCTCCTCTGTAAAATGGAGATGGAATCTTGATGTTGCCAGTGGTTGTGAAGCCTCACTAATGGAACCTGGTAAAGTCCTCAGCTCAACATGGTAAGAGCTAGTTCGCTCCAGTCCGTGACCTCACCCAAGACCAGAGGAGCCAGTGGGGAGGAACAGTATAGGGAGACAATGGCTTATCCTCAACCTAGCCAATCTCCCTGCTTGTGACCAACACTTCAGCCAATGAGGGGCCAGGAAGCTGAGCCAGCTTTATTTTAGGTCCCCTAGGAGGTGGTGGCACTAAAAATAGCAGCTCAGTGCTGGGATGACTAAGAAATGTCCAGGAAAGTCTAAAATAAGCAGAGAAGAAAACTTGGACCAGGCCATGCCTGTTACACAGGAACACAAGGTATGTCCCAGTTTACACTCTGCCAAGAAACGAATCGACAAGCGGGAAAAGCACAGGATCCGTGGCTAGTCTCAGCTGTACTGTTCTGATCAGATTTCCAAGGGGTCAGACCGTAGCTGTATCCACACACAAACTTGGATTACTTGAGGCAGGGCACAGCCCCACGTATCTCTGCCTCTTCAACCCTAGTATTCACTATGCTTAGCTCACTCACTGCAGCCAGACTTTGCTGCGACCTCACTGTTTTACCACCAAGATGCCTTGCCCAGACCCCTACCCTGCCCCGAGAGCTCTGGGGCAGGCGGAGAGCCGAGAGAGTGGGTGAGGGCCATCTTTCCCTCCTCAGTAAGGATGGACAGCCCTCAGGGAAGGTCTTGAAGAGTATGCTTATCAAAAGAAACAGAATAAGCAAATGTCTGGGGGAAATGAAAAGAGATAAGGACAAAAAAAAAAAAAAAAAAACCAGGGACAAAACTGGGAAGCCTGAGATGGAGGGTGAGGGAAACTAAGGTTAGAAGCTGATCCAAAGACAAGAAAAGTGTTGCCATGTGGTGGGTCGGTGAGGCAGAGGAAGTGTGGGGGTATTTTTTCCTTTTTTCAATTTTGTTCTTAATGGTGTGATAACTTGCTAATACAAAAACTACTCGGCAGAAGTAGTGGCAGAGTGAAGAGGGTGCAGGGATAAAGGGACAGAAGAGACCTTTGGTCCAGTGGGACAGGGCAAAGCAGGCCAGAGGGAGCTCTCCTGAGTAACAGGAGGGTTCCCAGAAAGTGTGAGAGGGAACTTTCAAAACTATGTGGATTGAGGCTTTTTTTTTAAAAATGTGACTGAAGCCTACACCAGCCTCATTCAAGGTCTGCTTGACCTTGATTTGTATATTTCCATGTGATGATCACAATAGCCATGTGGTCAGATTCCACTGTCATCCCACTTCACAGGTGGGAAAACTGAGCAATGTGGAGATTCTTGCTCCAAGCTCATCCAGTACATCAGTGTCAACACTGGGTCCTCTGGCTGAGGCCAGTGCTTTCTCTGACACTTTTGCGTCCCTGAGCTCTAAACCGCAACGCTATGTCCCTCGCCTTCAGCACCCTCATCTTTGGGTTAAAGGCCAAACCCTCAAAGCTCCACCAGTGGCCATCCACACCATTCTCTCCTACCTCCCCAGCCATTCTCTCCTACGTCGATTCATCTCTACACACAAACACACCAGGACTTGCCGGGTGCTTGCCCACCGTTTTGTCCTCCCTTTGTCCATCCGCCTGGTCAGTCCCTGTTCTTCCACTGCTCAGACCCCACCTCTTTAGGGACAGACTCCTTTCCAGACTCAAAGGCTGATCTCCAACCCCATATCAACACACCCAAGGGCCACTCCTCTGCCTAAACACTGTAGCTCTGGGCCCTGAGGATTCTGGTGTGGTTCTTGCCACACTCCCAATCTCCCTGCACAGAGCATGGCCCAGCAAACTACAAGACTTACAGTTTCTGACTCTAAATCTGCCATAAAGCTTCCAACTCATGGCTGGGAGGCAGCATTCCTGAATCCAGAAAAAGAAGCCCAGTGCAGAGCCCCGCTCCCACCCCCATGCAACATAGGGGAGAGGTCTGGGCCAGGCTGGGAGGACATCCCCCAGGGCAGCCAGCAAGCCCTAACTTTGTTTCTAATACAGTTACTGTGGAAGAACAGCCTGGAAAGAAACAGAATGCCAAGGCTCAGAGGCAGCCTCACATCAGATGGGGGACTGACCTTCATGACGGCTTCTCCTACGGCTCTTCTGAGAGGGCCGCTGACCACGCCATCTCCTGCTTCACCCCAACAGTCCGCAGGCTGACTGAGGCCAGGCTCCTTGAGGAGCAGAAATGACCTCGATGACCTCTTGCACACTGAGCATCAGCCTTCACTGCCCCTTAGGTCTCTGTGGGTGCAAAGACCCTCTAAGAATGTCTCAAAAACTGTGGCCCTCTCCCAAATATTTTGTGCAGAGGCGGGATGCCCCAGCCTTGTGAAAAATTTCAGGTTGTTTATACCCGCTGAGGTTCAGTCATAGACCCCAGGTTAAAACCTCTGGCCCAGGAGATCCTGTTAGGTAATAGAAAAACTTCATTTTTATCCTTAAATTCTAAGTCAGTGTCTCCAGGGACAAAACTTGAAATAGCATTGTCCAGCTGATAACATCTCTAAGTATAAAAATATGCTAAGGGCTTTACATGTGTTTGTCCCTAGCACCCTGAGTCAACACCCATGTTAGAGATGAGCAAAATGAGGTTAGCTAACTTTAACATGCTCAAGGTCATTAACCTAACAGATGGTAGAACTGGATGAAATCAGGTTTAGGGGACTCCAGAACCAAGATTCCCAGTCACAAATGATCTGGAGATGGCTGAGCACACACTCACAGAGAACCCCTATCTCTGACCTTGGCTTTCTCAGACAAAGACTTCTGCCTCTAAACAAAGGTACCAGGCAGATTTCCACCAAACAATTGTTTTCATGGGAGATGATTTCAGTTTCTCCAAATCGTCAGTCACGACCCAGCTCTACCATCTCAGCAGAGAGATCCTGGCCTTGCTGGACCTGGGGCAGGACAGTGATGAGGAAGAGGATATCACTAACTCCAGACTAATGCACAGAAAGATGCTCACATGTTTGAGGACTCATCACCAAGGTGCACAGGGAACATCAGCAGATGAGCTGAGCTCGTAGTGGGGTCCTTGAAATCGGGACCAATGGTGGCTATTACCCTCACAATTACTTTCTGCCAAGTCCCTAATAGCCCTGAAGCACATAGGCTGGGAAGGACTCCTCCAAGGGGTGGGACTTATAGCCAACCTTGGCTTAAACTTCTTGGGCCCACAGCATAGACTTGTATTGCAGGGAGAGGAGAAATGCAGTATACAGCCCAGCAGACAGGAAGACACTGCAGGGTGCCTGTTCTTCAGGAACAAACTGCCCCTCTGAATTCATGGTCTGAGAGGTGCTATGTATCCTGTCCTATGGCCCTCCAATGACTTCCTTTCCCATTCTCCACTGACAAAGTCTGAACCACTTATTCTGCCTTCAAGGCCTTGGGCGACCTGCCCTCCTGGCTGTCCAACTTTATCTCCTTGCCACCCCCACCCAACCCTCCTTCCTTGACAGGCACTAGGCATTTTCTTGTTTCTGAAACATGCTAAGCCTGTTCTCATCCTAGGGCTTTGCAACTGTTGCTCTTTCTACCTGGATCATTCTTCTCCCTAAATCTTCAGGAGACTGGTTCTTGTCACCCATGTGTCAGCTCAAATGTCACCTCATTACAGATAACTTCCCTGACTACTCAGTCTAAAGTAGCTGCTTATTCATTTCACCATCCTGTGTTGTTTTCTTAGAACTTGTCACTGCATGAGATTGTCACTCTTACGTATTTGTTTATGGTCTATCTCTCTGACCAGTGTGCCCCTGTTTCCACGGTGCCTAGCTTGGTCCTCAATAACTATTTGTTGACAAAGTCCATGAACGCCTAGGAGCCAGGGCTAAGAGGCCAGCCCTTCTTCTCTGGAGAAGGAATGAGTTGTGAGAAAACTCTGCTCAATCTAAGTGACCAAGTGACCCCCTTCCCCTCCACCTACATCTCCTATTTGAGTTGTCAGGAAACGATCCTGTCATTCACCCAGCCATCTGTTTGTCTGAGGTATGTGGCAAGTGGGGCTTCGCTCCCGCTCCAACTCTCTCTCACTCCCAAAGTCCCAGTCACCTGAGGGACAGCTGTGGCTGAACAGCAGGCACACAACCCTACCCTTAAAGGCCTGGACTCTAGTCTGTGCCTCCTCTCCCTTGTGATATCGCATCAGTTAATTGCAGCAATGTTAAGGGTAATCAACTGAGGGTATAGAGAACCCAGCTGTAAGGAGTTACTGTCAGGGCCTAGGTGAACACTAGGTCAAGAGCCAAGAAGAAGGTGGGTGTCTCAGCCTCCCGCAGGGACGCCGAACCATTGAGCAGCCTCAACCCGGAACTGGCACCTGCCTTGTTTACCACCCTGCAGCCTAAAATCTGGAGAGAAATTAGCCAAGGTCTGGTGCCAGGACAGAACCCTTTCTTGAGGCAGACCTCTGAGGTCTAGATGCTCCCTTGCACTCTGAAGGCCTTTTCCTCTTCCGCCGAGAGGGATGGCTCCAGAGCCTTCAGACTGCCCTGCATGGCCCAGAAGTTGTATCCTGAGATCTACATTCTGGCCTCTGCTCTGCACTTCCTCAATCCCAGACTAGCCTCCCTTTCCCAGCTGGCTCAGAGATCTCTGGGGTCCCTGTCTTAGCCAGCTCTCTTCCATGAACTTTCTTTCTGGTTAGGTACACATGGATTTGGCTCCCCCTGTGGGCCCTAAAGCTCCTAAGTGACTACCCCATGGTTAGCCACTATGCCTGGCCAGTACCAGTGTAACACTCTGAAACTAAGCAGGGTAATCAAGGGCTGGACATGGAGTCCCCAGGGCGGCAGAGGGAATGTCTCCTGTAAGCCAAACAGTTGTGTGTGTTCTCACCTTTAAACCTCACAGCCCTGTAAAGCTGGTATGATTATCATCACTTTGTAGATGAGGAAACCAAGACTCCAATGGGTTAAGAAAAAATTTCAAGACTACACAAGGCTACTAGCAGAGCCAGCATTAAAATGTCCATGAAATTGACCTGTACTGTAATAGCTGAGAGCCAGTGTCAAGTAGCGGAAAGCAAAATGAGGTGGTGAGGATAGGAGCCCAGGCCTTTTCTTCTCTGAAATCTGCAAGCTCCATGGCCCTCAAGACAGAAAGCCCTTGGGTGCCTGCTCAGCCACCAAGGCAGGTTTACACCGGAGAGACAACTCAGACTTGCATTCTCCTAGGCCTGAAACCACCTCTAACAAGTGGGACCAATGTCTCTACACACAGACAGCCTTCCAGAGGAGCAGTCTCTGCCCTGGTGAGACCCAGTGGCTCTAAAGGACTACCTGAGGCTTTAAGAAACAAATTCCTCTAGTTTCCTGAGGTAAATAGCCCTCAGTTCCCAGGCATCTTGGACATACTTCTCTCCTGATGGGGGTTCTCCTTCTCCAGGTAGCCCCCTCTTCAGCTTAGGAAGTTGGCACAGAACAGGTACCAGTAACACATAAGGAGGAAGGCCCAGGTCAGTGAGAGGAAGTTCTCATCAGTCGGTGATGGGAGTCGGTGATGAGCAGGGCTAAACCTGGCCCTCTTGTATCCCTCTTCCCTGACCACTAAGACACTTCTGCAGTCGCAGCCAGACTTGAACAAAGGATTCTTTCCAGGAAGACACATTCTAGCTGACAAAGTGAGAGGGGGAAAAGTGCCACACACACCTAGTGGTCAGGGTGCTGACCAGAATGATATCTCAGTGGCCTGTAAGTCATTCCAAGGATAGCCCACACGCTGCCACTTCCTTCAGGGAAGGAGTCAAGGATTCCTGCCACATATGGTCAGAGCAAGAGAATCACAGAATCTCAAAGCCAGAGAAGTCGTAGCCAACCCAAATTCAACTCCAAACACACAAAGATCCTCAGATGGCCCAACAGGACCAAAAAAAAAAAAAAAAAGCCCATCAGGACATTCAGCTCAACCCCAGCCCACAGAAATCCTGCACAACTTTCAGTGTCCATCCTATAGGAGAGTTTTCGGATCCACCTCTCACTAAAAGGACTATTCTCCTTTATCCTAAGGAAGGTGCCTCTCTGTCTCACTCTGGGAAGATGTCCTTCCTGATGGGTACCACTCCAGGAGCACTGGGCACTTATATAAGTGATTTGAGAGAGTCTCAGTAAAGAAGCAAAAGCCACAAACTTAGGCTCCAGGCAGGGAACAGAAAGGCCACAGACCGCAAAATGCTGGTGCGATTCCTAGGTGCTGGGAGAACACCCAGCAGAGACCCGTGAGGGATGGAAGAAGGCCAGGCTGTAGAAGACAGCACCTAAAATCAACAGCCATAGCAATTTAAAGTGGGAACAGCCTTACTCAAGGGACCCCGGACCTTCCTGGGCCCATCGTCTGGAGGTATACCTTGCTCTGTGTACTGAAGAGGAGTGTGGGCTCACCAAAAGCCTTTCCTCTTTGGTGCTCTAATCATTCAGAAGCCCCCTCTTCTGCACAGGGGCCAGAGCCCCTCCCCTATGAGTCCCTTCAACCTAGCCCTCAGCACATTAAGAGCAACAATACCCCTGTTTCCCCCACGACTATGACCTCCTTTCCCCAGCACCAGGACTGGGTGCTCCAGCCTCAGCCTGGAATCTGACACATAGAAAGGGCCCAAAGAATGGTTGCTGAATAAACTGATTATTGGTGAGAAAGGAGAAAAAAAATCATTTCAAGCAAGATACTAATACCTCAGTAAGGGAATTCTAGAATTTTTTGATAAAAGGTGGCTTCCAGTTCTAAAATTTGAGAATCCTGCATCTCTTAAACCATTCATCCCATCTCAACCCACCAACTGCAAAAACAGAATAAAATGAGATGTGGCTCAGAGAGGAGAGCTGGGCTCCTTGTCACTAACGGACCTAGTTTTGAGCTGGTTGAGGACCCAAGCATCCTCATACCCTGCCCCCATGCTTATGCAGCCACATCCCGACTGCACGGTGCCAAGCCTCACTTTCCAAGTCAGCCCTACACAAATATAAGATGAAGACAGATTCTGGAGAACCTCAGCATTCTCCTCTTATCTCTGAGACCCACCCAGATGGCCTGCCAAGTTCCAGAAAGATCAAGGATTCCTGGGGGATCAGGATGCCTAGCAATAGATAGCTGACTCCAAACACAGAAGTTATATAGGGAACTTCTAGAAGTACTGGAATGAAAGGGAGGGAACTGAATTCCTCCTACTCTAGTGTAACCTTGGAGAAGGAACAGTATCTTTTGACCTTGTGATCAAGCCATCTAGGGCCTTGGAATGTGCAAATTAATCCACTGCCTTAAGCCTAACTCACCAAAACCTGTATCCTAGAAAGAACCAATCTAGACAATTAAAGAGGGTCTTGAAAGAACTGCTTCTTGCACTAAGAAATTCCACCATACTGATCCTTTGTGTGTTCTGTGAGTAGTCAATCCCTCCTTGTTGCCCAACTCCACTGACAAACCACGCCTCTCTTGAGACCACTGAATGAACCTGACTTCCATGTGATCATGGGCTGGGATGTGGACTACGAAGATTGAGTTCAGAGAGAAGGCAGACCCTGGTGAGAGAGATCTGGACAGATCCTTGCCTGAATACCCTAATCAGGGAGAATGACTAGACAGAACAATTCAACTGCAGGAAAACTTCCAAGGCCAAAACCCAATGATCAGAAAAAAAACCATAACCCAGGGAAATACACAAGATGGGGGAAATCCGGAGGTGGAGGCTTGCTGCATCATAGGTCTAACTCAACTCCTCTAAGACACCTGTTTACTGCTTAGGTCAGGACTGCAGAGACTTAGCAGCTTTTTAAGTCCCCACAAGAACTACAGCTCAGAAACCATGCTGGGTCAGAGGAATCAAGGGTTGACAAGCTATCTCTTCCAAAATCCCATGGTATTCAATAAACTGGTCCCTTAATTTATCATTCAATCGGAAATGCTTTTACAAAGCCTGTCGGAAGACTACCCTATGACTAGATACTCCCCTTCTCCCAGAACTCAATGGGGTCCCTGGAGCCATCATTAAGGGCAATTTCCCAAGCCCCAACCAGCTTACTACCTGTTCACAGATCACACTAGAGCTGTTGGAAAGTGAGAAAGCAAGTGAGGGAAGCCTGACTTTTTGCAGCTTTCAGCTCTAGTTCTACCACCAGGACTTCAGAAGGGCCCCACAGAGTCTGAATCTGAGCCCCACAGCCCAAATGTGCTTTGCCCCCAATGCGTTTCCAGCCTAGCCTCTAGCTGGGCACTGGTCTCAGGGGTCTCAGGCCTGGATTCTATTTTCCCCTCCATTGAATCTCACCTTATCATTACCTTTCTTATGGAATCATTCACCTCTGTGGGAGGAGGACAGATGACTCTGGGAGGGGCAGATATGAGGATTAGGTTGTGCCTCAGAGACCTAATAATGTGTAGGAGACTGACACGTCCAATCTCACCTCCTTGGCTTCCTTCCTCTCTTCCTTCACTAACACCGCGGGCCAACCCACCCACAGCTGGGGCCTGGTCACTCAGAGAGAAGGGCGGGGGCTGAGCCTAACCTGAGCTACCTCATCGTATCAGGCCAGATTCTCTAACGTTGGTCGGGGGTGAAGTCCCACGTGCAATACCTCCCGCCCCACATTACTTGACCCTCCCCTTTACGAAGAACTTACGCATGAGTTCCAAAGAGTTGAGGGGGGAGGTTGCGTGCACTCCCAGTGGGGAGACAAGCAGAGGAGCGTTCACCTACATCCTAGCCAGGCTATGGTCGGAAACCCTGTGAGGGTCCTAAGCCCGGGCTGCGGCTGGCAGGCAGGCGGCCGCCCTTACCCAAAGTTGACTCTGGAGCGGGTCGGGTAGCGCTTCCCCACCCCCGCATCCTTCGCAGGCGGGTGGTAGACGTGGGGCTGGGGTCTGCCCACTAGCCTGCCTGCAGAGCTTGCGGGACTTTGGCAGGCCAAGCTAGGCCAGACGGGGCGGGGCCCGTTGAGTCCCATCAGGGTGGTCCGAACCAGAGAAAAAGGCCCTGCCCCAGTTCAGTCCGCTACACCTGCCATGTGCACGAATGGCCTTGATAGACGCCTGCCTGCCTGCCTGCCTGCCTGCCTCTCTGTGTTACCCCCGGCCGCCGCCTCAGAGGACCGGCGGGAGGCGGAGCCGCGCGCGACACATGGCCCCGGTCCCGCGCGGC